ATTAATTTAGAATGGCAAGATACTTTTATGTTATTACTTTTAGTAAAAATATTTTTGATACAAAATATATAATTATAATATTTTTACAAATTAAGTAATATATGAGTGATAGTTATAATTTCTGCGTACAATTAAATACGTATAATTGCTGGGAAATAATAATTTATATTTCAGCTATATAACAGCTATATTTCAGCAATATATATAACAGCTATATAACATTTTAATAACATGTTATATTTCTATTAATATATAGTTGCAATATCGTTTGAGTGGGAAATTACAACTAACGTGTATGTTACATGTAACAAACATGTTATATTGCACGTTACATTCCATTATATCCTATACAGCACAGATCTTGGAGCAATATTGCTGCAACGTTGCAATGTTAAAAGTTGTAGCAGTGTTGTCGCAATGTTGCTGCAAGATCTGTGCTGTATGGGATTATGACGATGTAACTGTTATATTATTGTGTTTGCTGGGTACATTTTTCAATTTCGGCACGATTGAGCGATCCAAGTTCTATTTTCCGCGTTCTATATTCAAAAGAAGTAATCCGAGCAACTCAGTGCGCGAATCATAGCAAAATCAAGCCGTCCACGTTCATCTATTCCCCCTGCAAGATACTAGAGATCATGTCGAACCTAGATCAAGGAAAGTATATACTCCCAGCCGACGTTGAAAGTAAGTTTTACATTTTATTCTCGTTTTTCCGCCGCGTTCTTTGGCCATTTTGCAATAATTCTGGTGAGTCTGATACTCGTTTCTCCCTTCGGAGTCGGCAATCCTCCCGACTTCCCTAAGCATATCCTATCTCCGTGCTAAATTCACCGAACCGCGATTAATAAATTTGTGTTTGTTAATTAATTAATTCAATTAAAAATTTCATTTTCTCCAATTCCTTTCCCGAATCGAAATTTTAACCCTATGTTGAACCTTGAATTCTACACTGCAGTAGGAGCTAAGATAGCAAAATAGGTTTAATTCTAATGATATATAATTTACTCTTACTTTGACCCTGATGATGTCTGAAATGTTTACTTTCGCTTTCTTTAGCATAAAGTAGGTTGTATAATAATAGGATTTTAGGAATCAAATTAGGTTCAGTTGCGAACTTCTATTGAAGCTTTAACTCCTACATAGAATATATGTATTTTATAGAAATATTTAAAAAATTTAATAAGTAACGAAACAGAAACGTCAAATAGCATACAAAATCTACATTTTATTTGTTGCATATATTTTAGACATCATCAGGGAATAAAAAAGTAGGAATAAATTATATCATTAGAATTAAAACTACTTTGATATCTTAGCTCCTACTGTATAAGATCAAAATTTCGACTTGGAAATGAGTGTCAGTATTGTCAAAATAGGTTTCACCTAGGTTGTAGATTATCTAAGTAGGCTCAAACTACTTTTAAGAGCGTCAAAGTAGCGTCAAAATTTTGACAGGGTAGAGTTAAAGGTTCAAAAGCGAAGTTAATAAGTATCAATATCGTCACAGTAAATTTTACCTAGGCTATAAACCGTCTAAGTAGGCACAAACTATCCTTAAGAGCGTCAAAGTAGCATCAAAATTTCGATTCGGGTTCTCTCCGATTATTCGCTCTATGCTCAATTCCGAGTAAAGAGATTCAGTTCTCTGACTCAAAATAGGGCCGCTCGCCATACGTCGTTGCACGTGTAAAACGACTCTTCTGGTCGCTCGTTCCTCGACCTGCGTGTACGGTCGAGGCTTATTATAAGCAATCCGTCGCGTTACGTTCTCCTCCAGGACGTAACATAAAAATTGGATGTCTAATTATGTATTGCAGATATCTTACAGTTCCAAACGTCTCAATCGAAAACGTATTGAATTTTCCAGCTGTCAATTTAAGTGGAATCATAGATCGATACACGATTGACATTAAAGCTTTCGCGTCTTTCGTTGGTAGATCGTACCATTTGCATTCGTACACGCTGTATGCTATGCCGGTACTCTGAAAATATAACATCCGTGTCATATATATGATGAATCGAGCACACAATTCGTCATTCTTTACCTCTGTTATAAGTTTCTCAGCTGAGTAGCAATACATATATAAATTTACCAATAACATATTGGCATAAAGCGCAAGGAAGATCATTTTAATAAGAGAGCTATTCGTAAATTTTTCTGTTATTATCTGAAAATGTCGTATGTTTCATTTTGATAAATATACTTAAGTATAAACATTCTTGTAAAGTGCAATTTACTATGTTTTTATCACGTGCACTGTTGGCAATTATATTATTATTAGTTACATATAAAGATAAAATGGAAGACGTACGAATCTTACCGTGCAAACCTGAAAACTTTCAAAGCACAGCTGAAAAGTAGCGACCATCATGTGCATAAGTAAAACTGCACTGTAGCAATTATCAATCGTCTTAGCATTCCTTAAAAATTCGTACGATTAAGTCTTTATAATATTAAATCACACTGCGAGATTTCTCCAACATACCTTATGAGATTCTCATGACGTAGCACGATCGCAGTAAGACCTTTCTTAAAATCGGTGGAAAGTATAGATTTTTCGATTAAATTCTCGACCCATTCATTGAGTGTTGTACACAGATTAATTAGCTGCGCGCAAATGTGCAGCAAAAGCAGCGAGATAAAGGTGTCGACGGTGCAGTTGACTACAGCCACATACACGGCAGCCAACAATTGAATAAAATATGTAATTATATACAGTGGAGCCTTCTGAATGTCATAAGGATAAGGAAACTGATAGACCAGTGTTCGTTGAGACTGATGTATATTTCGATAGAGTTTTAAAATATTGAAAACTATGAAGACCGCGGTTGCGCATGTAAGACTCACGTAACATTTAAAACACAAGCTTCTTCCAGTTCTTGCAACTTTTAACATTGTATTTCGTTGCCATTTTCTCTTGGATGTCATCCAGTCTGCCTTGAATGATGTCATCAGTGTTCGCAGAGCTTTCAAGTCAGACATAATATCTTAATAAAAATGTCAATTGCCAAACTAAATATATATATATATATATATATATATATATATATATATATCAACAAAATTATCGCATAGATAAGTTCATGTCAAAATTTTGCACATTTTTTTGCGAAAATGAACATAATACCGCAAAACATTATCGTATTTGAAATATATATTTTTTTTTAAGAGTAAAATCTGTATTTTAAAGGAGCATTTATCGGATTTTGAATTTATTTTCTCCGCTTTCCGCAGTCTTTTGAAAAATAAAGACGTGTTGCGTCTTAAAAAAATTTGATGTATCCTATAGGGTGGAATAAATTTTTTTCGTAAATTTCATGATAACTATTGTAAAGTATAGACTTTCCCCTGTAATTAAAAAAAAAACGAATTTTTACGATTTTTTTTTTTATGGAGTTGCGATATATCAAAGTTATCTATGTATTTTTTTTAAATCGCTTAATTTTATGCACTCTACTGAACGAAATGAATTATTTTCACAAATCTTACGATAACTATCGTAAAATATCGATGTTTGCTTGCAAATAAAAAAATAAAGAAGAGGTGTGCCCGACTTTCTTCCGCGATGTTCTGCGATGTTGGTGTATTAAAGTTACCTATGTGTTCTTAATCAGTTATTGTCAGCATTAACATTATGCGCACCACGAGGAGATTGCTGATTGGATTTTGCATATTGTATGTATGTGTGTATGTGTGCTACACGTGCGTGTGTATGCATGCATATTTGTCACAGTAACTGATTAAAAATGCACAGATAACTTTGATACGCCGTACAACATTGCGGAAGAAAATCGCGCACACCTCTTCTTTATTTTTTATTTGCAAGAAAACGTCGATATTTTATGATAGTTATTGTAAGATTTGTGAAAAAAATTAATTCCACAAGGGAAGATCCTAAACTGATTCACTAGTTTTGGTTTAAAATTTATGCTGACATATTATTAAGACAGAATGTAAGTTACAGCCCCTATTTTTGCGATATAACAAAATGGCGGTATAATATATTTTCTTATTTTTCAACTTATTTTCCAAATGTGATTCGGCCATATTGGATCGGCTATTTTCTATTTATTCTTTTTCATATCGGATTCGATTTTTTATAATTTTACAGTATGATTTGACTTGATTTCTTTATCCATTAAAAACTTTTTTGTCCAATTTACTTCGTTTCTCCTCTATCAATTGACTTAAAAAGTAGGTATTTTCAAAACATTTTGCCGTATGATTTTGGATTATTATATCTTCTTAGATCATAAAAAATTTCAAAATCTTATTTACAATATTTTTTTATTGTAGCACTTTGCGAAAAAATATATATTATACCGCCATTTTGTTATATCGTAAATATAATGGCTGTAACTTGCATTCTGTCTTAGTAACACCATATACAATATGTCAGCATAAGTTTTGAGACAAAACTAGTAAATTACTTCAGGATCTTCCTTTGTCAGTAGAGTGAATCAAATTATTAAAAAATGTACAGGTAACTTTGATATGTCACAACTTCGCAAAAAAAAAAAACGTACAAATCCGCTTTTTTTAAGTTATAGAGGAAAGTCTATACTTTACGATGATTATCAAATATTCGAAAAAAGTTTATTCCACCTTATAGGATACGTCAAATTATGCAATTTCTTGGAGACGCAACATGTCTCTACTTTTGAAAAGACTGCAGAAAGAGGAGAGAATAAATTCAAGATCCGACAAATGCTCCTTAAAGTGCAGACTTTACTCTTTAAAGTAAAATGAAAAGATTTCAAATACAATAATGTTTCGCTGTATTATGCTCATTTAAAATTATGCAAAATTTCGACACGAATTTACTTATGCAATAATTTTGTTGACGAGTATATTTATATATAAAATTATATACATATATGTATAAGTATATCCCATATTTAAAAAAAAAGAATCTAAGAAATCATTAAAATATACTGCACTTATATCATTAAAATATTCTGCATTTATATCTTGAATTTATATATATGTATAAATATATCGCATATTAAAAAAAAAAGAATTTAAGAAATCATTAAGATATGCTGCATTTATATGTAAAACAAATGCGCTACGATGTGATTATTCTATTATATGATATGCTTCATAGTTATGGCTCATGATATTAATAATTGAGAGTAAATAGTAATTAATTTATATAATGTTACTACAATAAAAAGCGTGATCACTTACTTTCACCGTGATATCGGGTGACAATCAATTTGTAGAATGCCAGCGAGCTGTAGTTCACTGAGGCAATGCATTCCACCATTAACGTTATGTTACCCCAAACACGAAATATATTTGTAATTTGGGGTATGAACACGTAAAAGATTAAAAGGCACATAGCAAATATGTACCTTAAATTCGGCCGACGGAATTCATTCAGGGGAATATGTGGGTCAGGCCATACGCCAAAAAATCGCAAGCATTGGCGACTCAAGGTGAACGCGTAACTTAAATCTGACAAAGTCGAATTTCAAAAAAATGTTATGTCCTTGCGTTGTTTTAGATTTATATTCGGATGACATGATATCGATGTTAAAATCGAATAAGTAACACACAAAATACAAAATAATATTACCACTTCATGTATAGTTTCAAATTCAAATTAACTTTCCCACTGATTATTCCTTTTTACGCGCTTACATTCTTTAATCAGACACGCGTTTAAAAAATATTTGAATAAAACATTTGTTTAAGTCAAAACAAAGATTACTGTTTATTTATTTCTTTATCTAGGAATTGCTGCTTTAAAGTTTATCGAAAGAAATAAAAACAAAGTACGATTATTGTATATATATTAATCATAAAACTTTATTTTCATTAATTACTCCAATATGATACACCTTTGTCAAATGGATATATTAAACATGTGTTGTTTAATGTATTATTTATTAAACACTTTTCATTTAAAGAGACATAATGATAGTAATAAGAAGATTTTAATAAGAAGATTAATTTGGTCTTAATACTTTGTTACAGAAGTTTATAGAAATCATGCTTTATCCGTAGCAGTTTATGGATCCGTCGCGTAGAGCTTTACACTTTCACGATATTTTGCAAGAGTTGATATGGAAGTTTATTTTAGTTCCGTGTATTAGCAAAAAATTATTCGCTTTCAGCATATAGATTGGTTGAAGCGTTTTTACATTCCAGGTAGAAGTTCTGTCGCTTGTACTTTGCGACATATCGAACTTCAGCGCGCAAAAACACTGTAATCAATTTGTACATCGAAAGCAAATATTTTTGCTAATACACGGAACTAAAATAAACTTTCATGCCAACTTTTGCATCCTGTCGTGGAAATACGAAGTTGTACGCGACGGATCTATAGACTGCTTATGATGTAGCATGCTTTTGATGAACTTCTACAACAAAGTACTAATAGCAAATATTACTCCTTTTATCTAATCCTATTGTTATCTATTCCTATTGTTACTGTCAACTTCATAAAAAAATAGATATCTATGTTTTTCAAACATACAATGTTTAAAAAATAATACTTTAAATAACATTTTCAGTCCATTTGACAAATGTCTTTTTTATTGGATATATAACCTTTGAGTAATTAATAAAATTAAATTTTTATGATAAATATAAATATATGATAATGCTCTGTGATATTCATTTATCACAATAAGCAAACAGTATGTAATAATTGACGCCACCATTGTTATTGCATAACTCAATGCAAAGTTGTGTAATGTAAGATAAACTGAAGCATCAAAATTTTATGATTAATAAAATATGAAGAATGTACTGAAAACGACACATATTTTTCTCGATACAAAGATTAACACACCACATTTCGAAGCCTTTCGAAGCCATTTCGATCTACTTGTTATCTTTTTTTTTTTTTATTTTAAATTACAATTACGTTTATTGATCGAATTATAATTGTTATTTGTAATGATTAATTTTCACTGATATTTAAGTCAGAACGAAAATTTCCGATTTTCACAATTGTGTTCACGCGTAATCGCATGTTTCGTGTACTCTATTACGTTACATAATTATTTTACAATAAGATTATGCACTTTTAAAAAAACTTTGCGCTGGAAACTTTTGATTTTTTTTTTACTTTGTGAAACGGATTCTCTACCTTTGTTAACACTCATTGAAGTTCGCGGAACGGAATTTATCGTCTGACTGAGACGCTCTTCACGATCAAGTTAAACAGTAATTCTGCGCGTGCTCAGTATGGGAAGGATTCAATTACTACCATCTGTGTGCATCTTTGTAAACCCTTTTAGATAACAATCAATAGTGATTTACGACACAATGGTAACGAAACGAATAGCGTTCAACCGCCATACGTTAAAGCAGGTTTTGTGAACACGTAACCTGCCGTTCAACTATAAGTGATCTGCTTATTCTATGACGGTATTCGTTCATTAATATCGACTGCATGTTTGACTGTTTCTTAAAATCAGAAAAGATGTTATTGAAGCAGAACTCAGATACGTTTAAGGACCATGCATGTTTTTCCAAATGCGTAAGCCTTTAAAGATGCTTGTTGTTTAAAAATACTTGTTTAAAGATGCTTTTTGTTTAAAGATGTTGTTTAAAGATACTTGTTGTCTCATTATTGTCTTTTTGCTGCTATACTGTTTGATTATTTTGGTCTCGGTGAAAATTGTGTTTTACTTGGACAATTATCATCACTGAGATTTTATTCATCTTGGTGGTTTGAATGTCAAGGAGAAATTAAGGTGGTTGTAAGGTAAAATGAGTTTATTAAAAATTCTCTCAAAGTTGCTTTACATATAAATTGAAATAGTATCTATCTGTTCATACAATTACAAAACGATTAACTATTCTAGAGTCGAGATATTTGAAATTAAACTTAACATTTTTATCTATAGTCCGATATTGGATCTGTACCGATGCCAGAGCTTATCCTGTCTTGCAGCCTTTACTAGGTCCAGATTTAGATTTAGATTTAGATTATTTTAGGATGGCTCGTTTTATGGCCAGATTGTCAACCGGTATCAGGACAAAATTGGTTGCTGACTCTTGGCCGCCGATATTGGACCAATGTTTGGCCAGTTCAACTAGCTTGACAATTTCTACGTGGGACTCTATCGCCAGTTGCGAAGGATAGCAACTACTACTCAGGTAGCAGATTCACGTCAAAATAATGTCAAAATTTGGTCAGTTCTGACCAGCAACGACGAAAGGTAATGACTTGGTTTATATCGTACACTTAATACGCGTATTAAATAATAACTTTCTATAATAGTAACTTTAAATAATCTTAATATTGACAATGCATATCAACGACAACGCATTCAATCGATACGTCTTCCTGATGAGTATTATACCAGTTTAATATATCGTTGTTTATATACATCAACGATATTAAGATTATTTAATAGAAAGTTACTATTTAGTACGCGTATCAAATACACGATATAAACCAGATCAATGACGGTCCTAAGTCACAGACCAATGACGTCATATGTACTATGACGTAATGACATTTTAAATGTCATCTTTTACATAAAATAACGTAACAATGATATATCCCTCACAGCACATTAATATTGCTGAAAGCTTATAGTAACCTTAAATTGATAATATTACATAGAGGTTAATAAACCTGCCATTAACCTTTTAATAACATGAAAATTTTTGTCCATACTCATTTGATTAACCTTAGTTGGCACACTGAGCCAAAAGCTCAGCTTAATTCAGCTTAATTTAGTTCCAATTTATTCCTCCCTATAGTACGAAATTGATGCTTGTGCCATTATCTATTGTTTGTCCAAGGAACTCTCTTTCTCCTGGATTATCTAGCGTAATTCTAAAAGTGTCAGTCTAGCTGGTATTCTGGTGGTATTCGAGTGAAACAGAGTGGTGCCATCAGAGACCCCAGTGTGCTAGCTATAATTATTCGAAGAATTTTTTCTGAATTTTTTTCTCATTGGTGTTTGTCATCAGGGGATAGAAAAGGGTAAGTACGTAATGTTGTAGGTATTTAAATTTTTTTTCCAGAATGTATCATATTATTCCGGTTTTATTAGATGACGTATCAGTTACGGCTTCAGGCCATACTGCAGCTACTTGAGGAAGATCGTGAGGATAATTTTTGTACATTAATCAAGTAATATTCACTCATATCTAATAAATGAACGAGTGTACTTTGAAAAAATAAGTAGTATTTTTTGGCTGAAATTTGTTTTTTTATTTCTCTAAATAAATACCTTTTTTAAAACGGCCACTATCAAACTTTTTTTTTCCTTAAAGTATTATATCTCAATAATGTCAAGTTAAATTTTTAGCTCTTAATATGAAAAAATAGAAGAGTTATGAATTTTTTAGTAAAAATAGTCATTTTTTCATTTTTTTAAGTAATCGAATTTTTTTCAAACGCATTATTACATTTTATCAAAATAACTTGACATCTTTTAAGTCGATATTTGAAAACTATTTTAACATTTTTTCAAATGAAAAAAATCACGTGATTGTGGTGGAGTGTGTTACGCTAAGGGTTAACATTACAGAAATCTTGTCAACGGAACATTATATTAACGAGCAATTAATAACAAAATAATTTATATCATATATATCTTACACACATATATATATATATATATATATATATATATATATATATATATATATATATATATATATATA